TGGCAGTGTGAAGGTAGTGTGGTGTAGTCGCTGATACTGGTGGCAGTGTCAAGGTAGTGTGGTGTAGTCGCTGATACTGGTGGCAGTGTGAAGGTAGTGTGGTGTAGTCGCTGATACTGGTGGCAGTGTCAAGGTAGTGTGGTGTAGTCGCTGATACTGGTGGCAGTGTCAAGGTAGTGTGGTGTAGTCGCTGATACTGGTGGCAGTGTCAAGGTAGTGTGGTGTAGTGGCTGATACTGGTGGCAGTGTGAAGGTAGTGCAGTATAAGTCTTAGTGCAGTATAAGTGATTGTGCATCTAAACACTGCTGGTCTAATATAAGTACTGTTGTGTAACAGGCGCAGAACAACTCTGAGCGCTGGCTTCATTTTTTTCACCCATACGGTCGAGATGCTGTCCAAATACCTCATTTATATACATACCTAGTAATTAGATTTCGGTTTCGATTTTCCAAACTTGCTGCATATGTCATTCAATCAACGCCTCGCATGAGAATAGTAAAACTATTAGTAACGCCTTCGAGAGAGTTGAGAACCATTAATTTCAGAAGTGGATTTTCCAAATTAAATGTTTGTACTCGTATTCTTCAGGACATCATCGGCAGCGGCAAGCGCGGCTTTAGCGACGGCAGCTTCACTTCAGCGCAGTTCAGCAGCCCTCAGGGATGTGCTTTCAGCGCTCCTCATCACATCTACGTTGCTGATACTGAAAACCACGCAATCAGGAAGGTACCTATCTTCTATTATTTGGTAATCTCTGAATTATTGTCAAATATTTTATCATTAGGTAGATGATAATCACTATTGTCTAGAAAAAATTATGCCAACGTTTAATTTGTTGCAGGATGCCAACAGTTAATTTTCTGCTTTAAATCTAATCCATGTAAGGATTCATACCAATTCATGCGGCATTTAACCCTAGAGTCTATAATTCTCGATTTGTTTTGTCTGATCACGCCTGCTTTTACTGTTTTTTTTTTACTACAATTACGTCCTAGAACCTCTGCAAGGCTACTTATCCTGTATGGCTGATACCACTCCGTACTTTAGCATCGCATTGTTTAGATTAAAAAACCTTTTTAGATATTTCTTTAACCTTTCTTCATTTCTCAGGTGTGTCTGAAGAGCAGAAGAGTGAGCACCGTCGCCGGGACCGGCAAACAAGGCACCGACCTCGTCGGCGGCCTCCGCGGCACTGACCAGGTCAGCATAGAAACTGAACCATGTGTCTGACTTTAACCCTTCATCGTCTGGCTGTACATTTAGGTTACTTTTCAAAATGTATTTTTTTTTGTTTATGTATGAAGCTCATTCGTCTAATGCTACAAATATATCGGCTTAAATCTCGGGCTGCACTATGAGCAGGTGGACAATTATTTAAATTAATAAATTTCAGCTATTTGGTATGGATGCAATGTGGTATTTTGCACTCACAAGAAAATAGGTCGTGAAAGGTTAACCCTTAACTTAAAGTACACGTAGCGGCCAAATTCTCGTCTGTGATTGGAGAGTTTAGCTGAAAAATCCGTTAGTGATTGACTGAATACGTAACGAACTCATAATTAGTCTCGATAATACGGCCTCTGATCGTTTTATCTTCCAGGAAATCTCAAGTCCATGGGACGTTTGCACTGCACGTCTCCCCGACGTCCACGGAGAGGCGGAAGTGACGCCAGTTTTGCTCATCGCCATGGCGGGCACTCATCAGATCTGGGCGCTGTTCCTGCAAGACGGCATCGACCTCGTAGGCTGGTGAGCCATGCTATTGGGGCCATACTTTCAAAACTGGCTAAGTGAACGTAAGTACTTACGCTCTATTTTCTCGTCTATGATTGCTGGATTTTGCTTGAAAGGCCGTCAATGATTGGCTGATAAACTTACTATCTCTTAACTTTTTTTGAAAGTATAGGCCATACTATACTTGAAAGTATAGGCCCAACGGGAGCCCGAACTATTAAAAATAGTTACGAGTTCTTAACGTCGTCAGCCAATCACTGACGGCTTTTAAAGCTAAGCCGACAAGAGATCAGCCGCTACGTGTACTCAGACCGCTACGTGTACTCAGGCCGCTACGTGTACTCACGCCGCTACGTGCACCAAGGCCGCTACGCGCACCAAGGCCGCTACGTGTACTCAGGCCGCTACGTGAACTACGTGGCGTGTTATGATAGTACGGCCCCTGATTCTACTGTAGGCATTAAATGGTGCCCTTGGCTAGCAATGCTTCTTATGTTCCGTATTTTAATGTAGTGCTGATTTATGAATGATTTCTTGTTTATGAACGTAATGTTCTGTCGTATTTGAATCAGCAGGCTTAGCAAAAATGACATGAATTATTGCCTTTAATTATTTACACTTATTCAGCAGCTGATAGGGAGATGATGTAAGTAGGTACGGAAATGTATTTGATGACTTAATAATTTTAATGACGCAGATGTAATAGTTTTGATGACGTGTACGTAATGATTTCTATGACGTGGACGTGGTAATTTTAATGTCGTTGACATAATGATTTATATGACATGGGCGTTATAGTTTTAATGATACGGACGCAATGTTTTTAATGACGTCGACGTAATGATGGTATATTTTTTCCTCAGCGAGCGTGCGGAAGGTTGCGTCGTTCGCATCGCTGGCTCAGGCCAAGAAGAGAACCGCAACACGAGTTATCCCTTGAAGGCTTCGTTTGCTCAGCCTTCTGGTATTTGCACTGCTAGACTGAGTCTGCCTCCCGCTACTAAAAAGAAGAATTTTGCTCGTAATATTCCTACGGAAACCAGCAATGATGGGTCTCATTGTGAGACTCACGGTGATGTCCCAGTCCCTCCTTCGTCTCTGATATATTCTTGCGCTTTTAAGGGAATTCCATCTGCTCCTGCTCCTCCTCCTCCTCCTCCTCCTCCTCCTCCTGCTCCTCCTGCTCTTCTTCCTCCTTCTCCTGCTCCTCCTGCTCTTCTTCCTCCTTCTCCTGCTCTTCAGCCTCCTTCTTTTCCTTTTTCTCGTCCCTCTGTTCCTCCTGCTCCTCCTCCTCCACCTCCTCCTCCTCCTCCTCCTGCTCTTCTTCCCCCTTCTTTTTCTTTTTCTCGTCCCTCTGTTCCTCCTGTCTCCTCCTCCTACTCATCCTCCTCCCCATCCTACTATATCAACGTCAGCGCAAAATTCTGTTCAAAATCAACAAAATCCGAGTTCAACGGGAGTTCCACCACCACCACAACAACCTCCAACAGCAGCAGCAACTGTAACAGCAACCCGCAATCCTGAAGGTCCGGCGCCATCTTTGATCCCCCCAGCCCCACCGTTCGGACCCACACCTCCCCGACCGCCCCGCGTCCACCGTCCTCCCCCTGCGGATGCCCCGACCACAGCCCTGTCGTCCCACCCTACAGGTAACATGGAACTCTAGGAATAGTGGTCATATATATAATGGTGGTCATACATTCATGATCCAGCTTAGTAACTTGTCCAGTTTGAAGAAATTAGCTGATTTATGTAAGAAAAAGACTTGTTTTAGGTTTTTTTATTCCAATATGATGTTCAATTGTTCATACTCGTATCATACTCGAAAAAAAATCTCTTTCGCCTTCAGGTGTCCACGCGGCGGTGATCGCGGACGCGGAGAGCTCGTGCGTGCGGCTGCTGCGTTTGGACACAGGCGCCGTTATGCCCCTGGTGGGGGGTGCCCCGGACCCCACGGTGGGCATTCAACCTTTTTTTTAAATTAATTAAATAAATCTTCACTTGGTGAGGGGTTTTCTCACTCTACTATTGTGCAGGACCTTGTGTCCTAACCTCCAGTATTGTGCAGGACCTTGTGTCCTAACCTCTGATATTGTACAGGACCTTGTGTCCTAACCTCTGATATTGTACAGGACCTTGTGTCCTAACCACTACTATTGTACAGGACCTTGTGTCCTAACCTCTGATATTGTGCAGGACCTTGTGTCCTAAGCTCTGGTATTGTGCAGGACCTTGTGTCCTAACCACTACTATTGTACAGGACCTTGTGTCCTAACCTCCAGTATTGTGCAGGACCTTGTGTCCTAACCTCCAGTATTGTGCAGGACCTTGTGTCCTAACCTCCAGTATTGTGCAGGACTTTGTGTCCTAACCTCCAGTATTGTGCAGAACCTTGTGTCCTAACCTCCAGTATTGTACAGGACCTTGTGTCCTAACCTCCAGTATTGTACAGGACCTTGTGTCCTAACCTCCAGTATTGTACAGGACCTTGTGTCCTAACCTCCATCATTGTACAGGACCTGTTCGCATACGGCGACGCTGATGGAGTTGGCACTAGTGCTCGTCTCCAGCATCCTCTTGCTGTCGCGGCCTCTGAAGACGGCGGTGCGCTGTACGTCGCTGACACCTACAACCATAAGGTGCCAGTTCTGCCTCATCTTTTGGCACACTGTACTTTATAGCTTCTTCAATGATTTATCTTCAATATTCACGGGAAACCTGCTTTTTACTACCTTATCGTATCATCATAAACTTCTGCAATGATTTTTTTTTTCAATGTTCACGGGAACTTTCTATTTACTGCTTCTTCACATCGTTATTAACTTCTAACTCATCGGTCACTACCTTACACGAATTCAACAACATTTTTCGTGACATACTCCCCTAAATATATAATTTATGCTTTCGCTGCAAAAGAAAATACCTATATTTTCAGAACCGCGAATTTGTATAGATTTATGAGATCAGATTTTTTCTTTCTTTGTTCAAATATTTCAAAGACATACCTAGGTAAGAAATCACTTTTGTATGAACGAGAAAGCCAAAAATTCAAAAGCTAAGAAAACGCCTAGTAAATCAACTACATCTTCAATGAAATTGTTAGGAGCTGGTCTTCGAAACGGTTTAATGGAATACCGTATATGGGGATTTCGCTGGGCATTTTCTTTGCTTTGAAATTCGTGGTGCACTTGAGATTCAAGCAGACTAATGAATAAGAACTGAGGAAAAGTCATGAATGCAATGAAATTCATGTTGTTGATGGGTATAATTACCAACAATATTTAACACTAAGCCCTTGCATTGCTTTTAGATCAGAAAAATCGACGTCTGTGTGCCTCAAGGTAAAGGGATACCGCGGTTTAAAACTACCAGCCTCCACATCAGCTCCCTCGAGGTAAAATTGGTTTTTATTAGATAATGCATCTAATGTTAATGCATCTAAAAAATATTAGATAGGTAATGCATATAATGACATTTCTATTTCTCAACTTCCAGACACTTTTTGTACATACAAAGCCACAAATTTTTTTGTAAGGAAGCCTCTTGTAAATCTCATCTGTATGGTTGCGGTACTCGGGTCTTTTTGTTAATGATGATGGCTCTCTAATAAATTAAAACATATATCCAGTCACAACATTTTTTCCCGTAAAGTCATCGCTGAATCTCCCATGACACAACGTTGGCGGATTAAATTTAGCTTTATTTTGTCCTAATACGATAGTGTGTAATTCACTCTTCATCATGTCCCATAATTCACTCTTCATCATGTCCCATTATTCACTCTTCATCATGTCCCATTATTCACTCTTCATCTTATTTACCATGTGTTATCTTCGCAGTTTCGTGAGCCCGGCGGGCTGTGTGCGATGGGCGATCAGCTGTTCGTCGCCGACACCAACCATCACGTCATCAAGATCATTGACACGTCCGCTAAACCTCCCGCCGTTTCGGAAGTAAGAAACTTTCTTGCATAATTTAGTAGTTGTCGATAGTTACAATTTGGCTATCTAGCTAACATTGCATGATAAACAAGCGCATTAATCAAGGTTGGAGAAACATCTATAGTGAACGTACATCAACTTACTATATTACGTAGTGATCAAAGTCCAAAGAACCAGTGTACAAGATAATTAAATTTAATTAACAGATGTGAATGTTACAATACAGTCTAATAAATATGCATCATCTGATAAATATCGGAAATAATGTAAAGTAGTAGAGGTTTTACGAAAACCTTCCTGTTTTCCTACTCTGACTCAAGATTAAATTCAACCATGACGTAGGTTTATTATATTATTCCGAGGTTTCATAAACAGTGAAAAAATATATCTCGGTACTTACTACAGTGAGTGACAGAGAGTGCATTTTCTCTTAGACGAAAACGTGAAATCTCGGACAGACGGACGGACGAACATGACGAGCACAATAGCGCCTTTTATTCCATAAGTGAGAAAATGCGCTAAAAACAACTTTATTTAAGATGCTAATATCTTATTTCTTCACAGTTGCGTTTACAGTTCGCGGATGTGAAGCAGAGCGATGAAGTGGATGGGCGTCTTGCTGCCGGACGAGGAGCAGACCAGCGATGCGTGTTGCTCTGCCCTGCCACCGGCCACGACACTCTGGCCCTCAACGTACGACTTGTGCTCGACCGCGGCGCCCTCACGGAAGACGCGCCCAGCAGTTGGCACGTCCGGACACTTCATGGTGAACACGTGTGGAATGACATGTGATTAGTTTCAATGTTTGGGCATGTTGTTAAAGCCTATCATTTAGCAGCTGTGAGGAATCTATATTACAAAAAGTTATAGCGCCCTGTTCTGTAGTAGCAGTTGAGGTTTTCTTCCGACATGGCGTGGTAGCTGGTGTGCGCCAGAACCTATGACTAGCGGCGTAACCAACGTACATGGAATTGGGAAGAACTGTTAGTATCAATTCCTGGTGCATAGCGACAATCAAGTTATGCAGGAAGAGATCCTGAGCACTCCATTGCAATGCGCAAACGTATGGCGTACGTTTATATACGTTTCGTATATAAACGTACCCCTCATGATATACGTTTCGTACGTTACAGTTGGGCGTGCTAAAGATCTCTTCCTGCCTAACGTGATTATTGCTATGTACCAGGAATTAACTTTATCGGTACAGCCCATCTCCATGTACGTTGGTTACGGATGACAGTTATGGCTAGGCTGGAGTACACCATCGCCCAGGCTATGTTGGAAGACTGTGCGGATTTAGTGAAATAATCTGAAAATAAATACATATTCAGTAATAAATACTCATAATATGTACAGGGGAAAGGAAAATAATGGAAGTGAGTAATCTCTTATAGCATCTGTTTGTCCACATCTTATTGTACTCTTACAAACGAGGTGGACGAGAAATAAATTGTTCCATTCTCCATCTGTGAGGACAGGGTGATATTCAAGAAGTAGTACCGGTATGTTAGGAACTAATAGGACTGAGGGAACAGTGTGCATATCATCCTCGGGGCGATAGGAAGTGGTTGGTTAACGCTTACCTACCAGCAGTCTCCGCGGTGTGTGTCTGCAACCTACGAAGGGACTCATGGCCCCCACCACGCAGTATACTTCTGGCAGGTAGGCGTTAACTAATCATCTCCAATCGTCCCTGAGCAAGATATGCGCACTATGTTGTTGTTGGTTGCGACCGTCACGCACGCCGGGGGGGAGGCTCTGGTGGCGGGCGGGGGGCCGGAACCGGAAGAGGAGGGAGGTGGGCGAAGGCAGGGAGGGTGGCTAGGAAAGCCGCTACCTCCACGGGGCTGTCCCTGATTGGAGGGGGTCCCCGCACTCCGGGCAGGCGGAGCTAGGGGAGCGTCCGATCCTGGCGGAATAGGACGCTAGGGAGCTGCAGTATCCCGAGCGGAGCTGGGATAACGCTGAGCGGTAGGGGCGAGGGAGAGAGGTCTCCGCTGAAGCAATCGGCGGCGGCAGGACAGTGTTTATGGCGGCAGTCGCCGCCACGCGGGAGGTGATCTCCCTCCGGAGAGACCGCTGGGCTTCTCCGTATGTCCCGGCAGGCAGGATACCATTTGTCAAGAGTGGTGTGACAAGATGGCCGAACCTTGACTGTATCGAGGCTTTCATAGGGCGGTCACCCAGAGGGGCAGAAACCATGCGAAAGGAGGCGTGGGGGGGCTGGAGGGCGCTGGCGAGGAACTGGGCGCAGGCCAGGTCCAGGTGTTCGGGCAAAGGGAGGATGCCGGTCTCCTGGTGCAGATGGGAGATCAGCCATTTTGAGGCAGCCGGTGGCTAGTCTCAATGCGGTATTCTGTATAGTCTGCAGGCTGGCAACTGCTGTGCGGGAGGCAACAGGGTACCAGATGGGGGCCGCGTAGTTGAGAATTGGGCGCGTGATGGTACGGTAGGTGGCAACTATGTCCTCCTTGTAGAAGCCCCAGTTGGTGCCAGCAAGGGCTTTTAGTATGCGAAGAAAACCCGTCGCTTTCGTGGCTATGGCTCTTGCATGCGGGGAGAAAGTGAAGTGTGTATCCCAGGTGACGCCTAGGATTTTGGGGGTTTTGTCCAGTGGGATGATGCCATTGCAGATGGTGGCAGCTGGGTGGTAACGGGATTGGTGCGTATCTGGGGGTGAAGAGCGTGACCGAGGACTTGCCAGGAGCCACGGCCAGTTTCTTGGCTGCCGACCAGTCAGAGACGTTACGAAGGAGCGAGCCAAGCTCGGCCTCCGCATCGTCGAGTCTCGGGGACGACACGAAGATGGTAAGGTCGTCCCCAATGGTGGTGGTAGGTACTGGGATGTCTAAAATGAAGTGATTGAAGAGGGCTGGCGAGATCACCGAGCCCTGGGGAACGCCTGAGTGGATAGCTCTGCAAGGCGATTGGGTCCGGAGATAGAGGCAGGATGCCTGCCTGCCTCGGAGGTAGCAGCACAGCCATCGGACCAGGTTGTGATTTAGGTCCGAGGCCGCGATCATGCTTAGGAGGAGGGGGTGGTCGACACTGTCGAATGCCTTCGAGAGGTCGACCGCCGCGGCGACTGTGCGGGCTGGAGGGCGCCGCGAGTTAAAGCCCGTCGTGATCTGGTGCGCGAGCGGGAGGAGGGCGGTGACAGTGGAGTGTCCGGCTTGAAACCATGCTGCGAGGGGACGGTGGTGAGAGAGCCCGAGATGTAAGGGAGCACAAGTCGCTCTAGGATCTTGGCTGCAGGGCAGAGGAGGGAGAGGGTTACCGGGTTTGCCCGGTTTGAGGATTGGAATAATTATTGAATTTTTCCAAATGGAAGGGATAGAGGCTGTGGCGACGGAGATATTAAAAATGCGGGTGAGGAATTGGATACCGCGTGGTCCGATGTGCTTAAAATGCAGGACCGTGAGCCCGTCCGGGCCTCGCGCGGAGGAGTTCTTGGCAGCCGCGATAGCGAGCTTCACCATGTCGGGTGTGAACGGGGAGAAGTCCCTGTCCAGGGGATGTTCCGCCCGGATTCTACGTATGAGGCGGCGGGTGGAGGGGCTCTGGGAGTGGGGGGCGCACTATCGCCTCTGCTGGCCCGGCCCAGCAGCGGTAGAGCTCCTGCAACCATCTTGCGTTCTACTCCCTCACTTTGGGGAGTTATGATGATCTATTTTTCCGGACAATTTTCGCGATTTTGTTTTTTCAATCGAGTTAACCGAATTAAATTATTGATGGCACTGTTTTCTTTTTAAAATTTAAAAAGTGCGAAAAAACAGTGGAATTTTATACCGGAAGCTGCTACACATATACTAATGTATATGGAGTTAAAGGACTTTTTGGCCTGTTTTGTCCGTGGACAAAATGCCATCTGGCAACCCTGGTTGGGGCGTTTCACAAGCGTGTCGTGCTATTAATGAGGACATCACCTCCACTCTATAAAGCTTCTCCTCTTCAGTCCGTCAATCCCATGACCGTGTCCTTTCAAGCCTCTTCCCCGCGAGGCCTCCTGTCTCCTCACTGTGCAACAGAAAATCAAAGGCCAAAAATCATCAACATGTTACGAGACATATTTCACTTTGCGACATTTTGGCCTCTAGTAGTGAAGGCAAATTACAAATAAATTTGCCTATTCATTTATTGTCATGCAGCGAATAAGTATATATATGGCCAAGAAACTAGTGGTTTTAATCCCAAAATACGTCTCATCTACTGTTCACTGGTGACTGCTGCTGTGGTATTAAATTTAGGCCTGAATAGTCTTGAAAGACACGGCAATAAATTAGTGATCCCTTAGGCTGACACAATCTTTATTATTCTCCTGCTGCATATCCAGCTATTTACTGTGCTCTAATTGTACTACACTTGTACGCATGCGCGACTAGGAATATCGTGAACTTAATCACAGATATCTTGTATATTATTAAGCTAACGTTGCACTAATATTTCGTTCATTTGCCTAGAATATTAATGAAAATATATCACATATTAATATGCGTCAGAATAGTGAGGATAATTTTTAATTGCGCAAAATGAGCTGGAAACATCCCATTTAATATTTGATAATTCTACTAATTTTTCCGAATCGGCTTCTTACTTTCAAAAGATCTGCTAGACTGGACATGTAACGTGAATAAATTGCTCACATTTCAGGCGCTGAGGTTACAAGGAGCTCGGGAGGCTGGGGTCACGACGGCATTGCCAGCTTCTTCGTCAAATTGCAGATTCCGCGGCCAGAAGTTGAGACTCTGCTCTTCACGGCTAAGTTGTACGTCTGTCTCCCTTCTGGTGTATGCACGGGGAAAAAAATCACGTTAGCGATCGAAATAAGAGGCGAAAATAAGTCAAATGATGACGTACTCACAATTCCAGTGACATCTGGTCCTACTGATATACAACTAAAGGTTTCGGTTTAGCTCATACGATCTACTGCATTTATTTTGATATCATTTGTTGTATCTCTTGAGTCCTATGACTGGGAAAGTACACACTTGTACTTACTTAGTACACACTTAAGTACCTACATAGTGAAAGTACTTAAAACTTTGGCGTGGTTTTCTTTAATTTTACCCTTACGAATGCTTTACTCTGACTGCCTCACTATGATTGCGTTTAGCCTCAATACTCTAGTTAACGACACGATGGCTTAAATCTCTAGTATACTTGTATCCTTCATTCATTAAAATTTTTAACATAGACAAGACAATATCCTCTTTAGACTTCTCTAAAGCACGACGACCTTATAAATTCACTGCAAGTTTTAGTTTCGAGGTCTCATATTACTGTTATCAAGATTCAATTATATCCTAATTTCTGCAAGATTTATGATCAAGGTTCAGTCCTGCTTCGACGACATTACAAGTATAGATATCATGATGTCTATGCCAATTGACAAACTATTTAACCTTCCCAAAAAAGACTCTTTAGTCAAGTGATTGTTACAACGACTCCATGTATCATTCATAATCCCATACAAAGTATGCTTTACTTCTCACCTAATGATTGCAGTATTAATATTCAGCTTTTAAGTTTATCGTTAATATTATTGTAAGTTTTGTCTCTCTGGCCAGTCATAATATTTATCAATGTTGGTATTGCATTTTCCATTTTGGTCTTGTTCTTAGTGTTGAAGCATAATGATGGTGCCTTCGAACGAATTAAAACGTTCAAATGACGAAGTCTGTGAATCATTCTTTAGCTATGTACAATAGACTTTAAATTATCATTTAAAGTCTATTTGTATAATTTAAGGCAAAAATAGCCGCGGTCGAAGAATTGATTTTTCATGAATTAACTGATTTTATTATTTGCCATTTTGATTTACCTTCATGATTAAACTACTCATGTTTTTATTATTTACTGCTCTCTTATCACTTATTAGTTGAAGTATTGCATTTCATATTCGTATATATAACACGTGTTACAGCTTATTTGAATTAAAACTAATCCATGAAGCGTGTTTCCCTAGCATTTTACTATTGCAAAATTTACTGTATTCAAACTAACCTTCAACTTTATATAAGTGATACCTATCTTTATAGGTTGAATCAATTTTACAATGTCTTTACCATAGCTGGTGCACCCCAACCCCTTAGCCATACAACACCCACCGCTCTGTTTACCACCCGGACCGATGATGTGGGAACTATAGCTGCTCCATAATAAACATGTATATTTATGCTCGAAAGCCACGTAAGGAAATAATCTTAGAGACTTAATTTAATTTTACTTTCAATTTAGATACCTTATGCTTTGACTGCAGAGAAAACGATTATGCGCCACAATATTTAAAAAAAATACCCTCAACAAAACTCCGATTACATGCATCAGGAACGATTGGTGAAAACAAGAAAAGAAAATTGAGTGTTAAGATAAAAAAGTTAAAGAGAATAATGATCATTTTTGCCTTTATTTCAAAGAAAATAGACAAATTCACCTTAATTTTCGCGCAAGCATTTCGGTGACCAGCGCCATCATCTGTTCGAAATGCAAGTACGATCTCTTCAATGATCAAAGTTGAAAGGTAGATTGTAAGTACTAAATAAATGAATTAAGCCACGGCAAAGAGACCAAAGCGGACAGAGATTTATATAATTTAAATCAAGTTAGTTAGTTTAGTGGCCACATGTTCACTAGCGCTTCAGCTATTCAGCTATCTCGCACCGAATGTCAAGATGAACATCACCTAAGAGTTGGAAGGTCTCAATTATCGAAAATTTCTCAAAATCAAAAATCATTCGATTGCGAAAAACCAACTCTTGGTGCTTGAAAAAGAGAGGAGTTGGTTAAGAGCACGGCAATGAGTCGAAATTGTTGAATGATGTAGTAAACTCCTTGAGTGAGATGGTGCGCTCGCTGAGTGATAAACTGAGCTCGCTATGCAATGAGCTGACTGAAGTGAAGGCTCAGCTGAAAAATACGGAAGAAATGGAAGTAAAGAACAAGACAGCTGATTTATCAGAAGTCGCTAATGACAGCTCACGTGAATTGCTTGATAGAGAACGTAGGAAGTGCACGAGAGAGGCAGAGAAGGGAAATGTAAGGAATCCTACCTACATAATAACTTAATGTAAGGAATCCTACCTACTTAATAACTTAATGTAAGGAATCCTACCTACATAATAACTTTATGTAAGGAATCCTACCTACATAATAACTTAATGTAAGGTATCCTACCTACATAATAACTTAATGTAAGGAATCCTACCTACATAATAACTTTATGTAAGGAATCCTACCTACATAATAACTTAATGTAATGAATCCTACCTACATACAGTAATAACCCCATAACTGAGACCTGCAGTCAGACACCGCGAGCTCAGCGGTGGGGCGCTCATGAACAATCCCCCTAGGAGCTCGAAGACTTCTGACGTCCACAGACGCGCGTCAGAAGTGCCCCCCTGATGGGTAATTTAAATCAAAGAAAAAACTTAGGTCTCATTCAAATGAGCGATATTTAAACTTCATCCGTTATTCAAGCAACACTTCACATTCCTACTTTAATGCCATATGCCAGAATTACTGAAAAAACGGTGAATTTTTTCTGACAATTTCTTTGACTGGACATTCTAAGTTGGGATACATTTCAAGCAATCGTGTAAAATTACTAACCGTTCGTGATTTGTAATGTTTTTTATCAAAATCCTCGAAATTATGTAGACTCACTTCCTTAAACAATAATCATGACATTTGGAAAAAAATCAAACTGAATTTTCGACAATCAATATTTGAATTTAAACTGAAATATCCCGTACGATTGACCATTAACCAGCACCTAGAAAACCGTTTTACATACAATTCCTGGCATTCTTAGTGATTTTTGCTACTAAAAACTTGCCCTTTTCTGTATTAATCTCAATTTAAACTAACGACTGCAGTCAGACCCCAACGTTTCTATAGATAAAAAGAATTAATCTTAAAGGATTGACAGATTCAACAAAAATGACAATTAAAAGAAGTTGTTAATAACGCCAAGTTTTGTATGGAGCTCTTGAATAGAATGATATAGGAAAACCTATCTTTCTTGAGTAGAAATTCAGCGGAGTCTGATAGGTTATCAGAGGAGAGCCTAAAGCCATCGCCCTTAATAAAATAAACCAATTTTAGAAAATATTGTGCTTGCAACAAATGCATTCAAAATATGTTATTTGGTGAATGTTTCTTCAATCAACGGAAAATCAAGTTCAGAAAAGTGGGCAAATCTGCTACAATGTCTACAAATCTATTGAATGTAAAAGACAGTCTTCAAAATTTATGCATCCTATCAAAAACTTCCAATCAGAACATTTCGGGCTGATTTGGCATCAGGTTCATAGTAGAACATCTCACTGCTAAACAGCACAACCTTCCACCTATGCTCGTCCACAGCATTCATACAAAATTCCATGCATGTAAAATTTCGCGAAATCGGTAAGCCACAAAATTTACACCTTGGATCGTAAAAAAAAATCATAAATGCTTCGTGGGAAGAAATTTCTGTACGAAAAAAAAAAATAATTAATTTTTTGATGAATCAAGTATAAAATATAATGAAAATATAAGATTAAATGTGATAATTTTTGTTGAATTGAAATAATTGCGTCAAATCGAGATGGAATAATTGAAAACCCTTATCGAATTGGAAATGAAAGAATTAGTTTGAAGAAGATATTTTCTGTTCGACTACGTAACAATGAGATCATAATTTTGCGTTGGACCATAATTTTACAAAAAAATGAAAAAAATCATGCAGGTTGTAAATAACCTAATAATAATAATAATAATAGCGGTTTCAGCGTTTATTAGGCCGTAGGCCTGTCGCCGATTCTTAACATCGCAGAACATTCACAGCATTTTGAGGTCTCGAACTCGCAACTCACTGCTACAATTCTGCTGTGTTTAACCGCCCGGCCTCCTTGCCGATTCTGACCAGAAGAGCTAGGATCGAACCCGCGCCTCTCTAGTGCGTCAATCTTAGTACTCTGAACTTTAACCACTGGGCCACTCTGCCCTTAAAACTTCATATTCTTGAAAGAAAATAAAGTAAAACACAGTATCAAAGGAGGGAAATTTACTCCCCATGAATGTAGCGAAGTATCCGATCGACGCCAGAACTAAAGTGACAAATTTAGTGAGCCTCATTTTCCATCTGTACGACGAAGAATTAATCATCCATCAGTAGCCTATTCGATTTTTGAAAAGCAGCTAATGTCCATGTTCCGAGAAAACGTAGAATTATCATTACATGTTTTTGAATATTTTGGTCGGGTTGTCCTTGAAATGAAATTCATTCAATTTCAAATTTTTGGCATAATTGAAAAGTTAAAACCTGAGTGTAGAAGAAATTCATATTCTAGTCTAGTTGGACTATTCGTTAAATTACGTAATTATTCGAATGAACATTGGAATACTTTGGAGGTTTTACCTAATTCTTCAACATTTGGCGGTTCACTGCGCCAATAGGCCTTTATTTCTCTCACATAGGCAGAAAAATTAATAGGTCATAATGTTCAAATATTTACACGCAGTTCTGCACGTAGCACTGATACACCCGTTTGCCATGTAAAACTGGGACAGGATGACGTACATTACTCGGGTAGAACGTGCATCCTGTTTGGACAAAGCCATTTCTTTCTCCGAGTCAGTCGGTGTTTCAGGAGGCAACTTGTCGAGCAAATGAGCGTAATTAAAAAATGCAACAGATCGACTCGAAATCTATCGCGAAATCCCTAAGCCTATTTCAACTTGGTTGATATCCTATAAGTTTTAAATTCCCATAAATGGAATTTTAAGTTTGATCAATAATAATGTGCGATTAAAAATTACTTTTTAAAACTTCTAAAGAATCCAGTGTCTCCGATGTTACACATAGACAATGAATTTCAAACTTTATCATCATATATTGAAAATGTTAATTTTTAAATTTTATTTTTAAATTCAATTTTTTTAATTTTTGATACATGCATTGATAATGATTGTTGATAATAATAATTGATACATGCATTGATAATAATTGATATATGCATCGTCTCCGACTTTACGCAAGTGTGCAAAATTTCAGATCGATTGGACAGGTAGAAGTGTGTTAAATATCGATTACAAGATTTGTAGCAGAAAGACAAACAGACAAATTAACAAACAAGAAGGGAAGTTAAAGAGAAGTGTTGTAAAAACTAATGAGTGATGGACCCAACCCTGATCAATTTAATCTTGGTTTGTCCGGTCGAAAAATTTTCTAAGGAACGATTCGCTCCGTAATCCGAAATTTTGATGGCACCCCGAAGTGTGGATGTCAAAAAGAGGGAGGTGGCAGTTAAATTACCTTTCGGACCAGTCGGAAATTTTTCCGGGACCAGCTTTTAAAAAATACGCAAATTTGATTATAGCAATTAGGAGTCCACGAACACGACATGTTAAAAACCTGCGTGTGTAAGCCGATTATATGTTGGCGAGCTGATTACGCGATGACGATCTAAGTTGAACAGCAAAAACGGGCAATTTTACCTAATTACGCATGCATGGCTTTTGCAATTAGGAATCCACTGATATGCAGTTAAAACACGCTATTTATAACGAGTCTTAATTAGCGTTTTCGAAATTTTAGCGTTTTTTTTCTTGGTAATTTCTTGCAAAGGTAAAGCGTGTGCCACCAGGAAATATCCATCGTCCTAACAGAAACTGTGAGTGAAAGTAACTGACAAAGCGTATATACGCAACAGGTACGCAAAGCTTATTGATACTACGAAATGACATGTGATGCAAATCTTTTGTCGGAGCATTAATTATGGCATGAATGTTGGGTGAGAAAGTGAACATACAGTATTTTACATTCTATAACGAGTAGGTACAAATCTGATTATTAAAGTTAGACGAAGTTTAAGAAAATACGCTGCTAATAGTTCTATTTCTAACCTGCAATACGAAAAATTTAAGGTTAAGATATTATAGCGACAGAAGGGTAGAGCTAGCCGTG